TGGCTCATGTATCGGTCCTTCCTAGGGTGGGCTTGGCGATCAGCCCTGATTGGCTGAGATCACAGAATCCGGGTACTCGAGAACACCCGGATTCTGTCCACCACCTGAGATATACCCGTATTCTGACACTTAATCTAATTCTAAAAGTCTTGTTCTAGGTCTTATGGTGGCTGTGATGTTTCTTCAAATGAGGGAATAGTAGTGAGATTAATAGAAGCTGATGGATCCACTAAAACTTCTAGGTAACCAGAATCATGAGGCTGAAGAATAAATCCCTATACCATATTCTTGTTATAGGGCACCGCTTCATATCCATCCCAAAATTCAGATAAGTCTTCGTCAAGGGGGCTAGACTCTAGTATGAGGTAGCCATGTTTAGTAACCTTGCTGTGTTCAAGGTCGGTTTGTGCCTTCTGTATAGTTAAAACCATGTTCTCGAAAAGCTGTAAGTGTTGATATGAATATCGTGGAGCTGGTGTCTGCTCGTTGGGTGCCTGCTCGTTGGGTGCCTGCTCGTTGAGTGCCTGCTCGTTGGGTGGATTATGTGGCAAGATGGGTAAAACGTGCCTATGTAGAGGCTCCTGAGGACTCTTCGGTACCACATTTATTGAGGCGATAGTGCTTGCGCTTATTTTGCTAGAGGCTATTAATTTGTCTTTAACCGTAGCGCCGCTCGTGATCAACTTAATGTTGGCTTATTCAATCTAATCGATTTGATTGCTAAAGCATGTAGAATTCTATGCTACGGCCTCTTTCGGAATGTTTTGAGCTTTTAATGATGTTAAATCTGTGTTTGAGAAGGCCCTTACTCTATCGAGAATTTATTCAAAGATATTATAGGTCTAAGACTTAGATCTCTTAATCTGATTAGCTAACTGATATAGCCGCTATTGCTTCCCAGATTTTGGTCCGGAGCGGAGTTAGCGCCTCTCTACTTGCTTTTTTGTCGTTGATGAAGACTCCTCTAAAGCGTTCAGTTGGTGGTCGATATCTGATAACAGGCTCGTTATCTACTGCACCTGAGTGCGAAGGACTTTGACGAAGGCTTCCTTGGTAACTATGGCGGACATATTTCGTGGGGTACGAGCGTGAGTATGAGTTGCAACTTGTAGGCGTTACTGGTGCACATCTCTCTAATTACTTTCTCTGCTACGAGTATATATACGACTGCTGACGAACATATACATAACGCAGTCGGAAATGATGTCCGTTCTAGAGAGGTGCAAGGCGCATTAGGCTGAAACTAGGCCAGGCCTACATGAGCAGCTAATAGGCAGCGCAGCGCTGGCACTGACATGTCGAAAACGCAACGGCAGTGCCAGAGACACAGTTCTAATTCGCTATAAGCAATCCTTGCGCCGCAACGTTCCATCGAGCGTAGCGTATAGGTAAACTGCAGAACTCCACTCACGCATGTAGGTATGCTAGGTACTAGCCTATTAGAGCAGTTGCAGTGGCAGACGAGGATAAGGGTAGGTGCTGTGCATAGCATGATCTGCGAGGAACTATATCGCATCACATACAGAGCGCTGCGCAAGATCAGGTCTATGCCCTCATTGCACAGCGACGCAAACCAATTAACCGGTGGGTAGAGCTATAAGAATAGATAAATGCGTAGCGCCACTAATAGCATAACTAACCGTAAACGTTAGTCTTTACGCCCCCGTCCCTCTTTTACTGCTGTTGGACACGAAAATGGAATTCCAATATTGTAACTACGGCGCATTCATTGATTGCAAGCGCTGCACTGACTGTGTCTTCGGCAATGCCGGAGCATAAAAGTATCGTGTTACGGCGATATGGCCAATAAAACGCTTCGCTAAGAGCTAACCGAGATAAGAGGCAAACCTGGCGCTTCTACGTCTCATCTAATTGGAGATAATTGACTCATCTCCACTGCCATATTGGATATCACTGTCAATGCGTGTGGATCTGGTTCGAGATGATACAAGCGGGATTACGGATAAACGTATATGCTAATCATTCGTTGACACGTATATTGAGCTGACGTGTCGTGAGGCGCAGCCCATGCAGGAGATAGGGGAAAGACTAGGGATACGCATTGTTGGGTGTATTGTTGAGCGTATTGTTACTGGTATTGAAATTTTACAATCGCGACTATCTTCTTCCTCAAGCAACAGGGCAACAGGAGCTATCCAGAAGACTTGATGAAAAAGTTCGCGTCAGTCCGAGGTAGTGCGATACGGACGACACTGTGAGGACGACTATGAGCAAGCCCAGGGAGCCGTCCACTAGGTGCAAAAATAAGAATAATCTTGAATGTGACCGTAGTCACGTTTCAGAGATTAAACTGAAAAGAACAGATACTACACTTGATCTAAGCCAAAAGGCAAAGCTTCATGCTGTTAGTGAACTGGTCTCAACAGTAGGGGTCGTGGGAAAAAGACTCACAGAGCTAAAGAACAGAAGAGAGGTGAGATGAAGGGTTTAAATATTCAGTGGGAAGACGCTAGTGGGTGGCTTACGTAGCCACAGGCGAGACTTCGGTTGTTGCCCCAGCCAACGTGGTGACGTCGGAGCGACGTTAATCCAGGCGGGGTGGACCGGCTGGGTGGGGGCGCCAAACGGCGGTGAATGCGTCTTGCCGACATCGAACACCAACTATTTGGCAATTTGCGGCTTGTGCTTCGGAATCTATGGGGCCCTGGAATTGTGCGCGTTATGCAATGTGCGTGTGAATATGCATAGCTGCAATTGCGATAACTTGTGCATTCCTCCGGTCAATTGTCGGCATGTGGTCCAGTTAGAAGGCGGGGAAAAGTAGCGAGCGAAGAGCTATGATCAATCTTCTCCAAGCAACGTTGTACACAGTATGCTCATCGTGTATGTGCATACCATACCTCCGACCCAGACGATTCTTATGAGAAGAATGGATGTGTCGCGTTGGCAACATATCTAGTCCAAGACGCATACTTGCATCACTGAGCTCACAGTGCTTGCTCTTACTATGGTATTGTTATCATGCCAAAATGCGTACTATCCCCAAGTGATTTTTTCCTATCATTTTCACAGCTTTCTGCGTAGAGCTATATGCAATGGAAAGAGAGGCAATCGCACATAAGATAGCAAGATGTCAATGATTGGAGACTAACCGGTATCGAGTCGTCATTGTGAACCCTCTATAACTACGCGGATATACTCACAGAGATCTACGGAGAATCCATATCCGGAATATGTTCACATGACCATCATGACAGAGATACGTCATCTACAGCTATAGCACCTCCGCTAACACCATAATTTGGACAATTATCATCTCGCCTGCGGAGTTTCAAGGACTTCCCCACCGATGCCCCAGCCATTTGTAAGAACAGTCCTAGCGACAGCTATCGGCTATAACACTGATACTTCCCTTCTACCGGCTAGATTACTAGTCATGATCTGTTCCCTCTACTAGCTCAAGGACATAATCTGCTACAATATGTATTCGAGGATACGATTCTACCCACAATACCAAGACTCGGGTATTCGGCTGCACTAACATCTAAATCACGGACTTCGAAATTTGGTATCCGAAAAAAGTGGCTAGCATCTAGGGACTCCTTTTAATACTCAAGTACGCGCTTATCTTCGATGCTTACTAACAACAAAGAATGATTAATGATGGCTGAATGTCTATAGAGAGGCGGACTACTATCAAATGTTTCTAGGTCGTATCTAGCCTGATTGGCTGGAACAGAGACAATCAACGGGACTTTTGATGCTGTGCTACATTGTCAAGGTATCGCGAGACAATCAAGGTAGGGCATTGGATTAGCAAACACCGGTTATACAACTAAAATGTTCCCTTGTGTTGTATTAAGAATGGCAAGAAACAAATGCGCGGATAACCTAGTAAAATAGGAGTTAGTGTCCAGAATATGAACTTAGTGGCGCGGCTGAGCAGACGGTTGGTTCCGGCCCGTTCCGCCGGAGAATCTTTGGCAGGGAAATCGATAGTGACGAATAAGCAGCATGTGAACGTCGTCAGGCTTACAAAGTTGACGACATTGAAGTGATTGGAGTAACAAGACTGCTATAATGGTTGTCAAAACATCAGAAATCATATCACCTGATGTTTGCAGTAATCTACTAGCAACCTCATGAACGTAATTTCGTGTCGTGGTGTTGAGAACCAAAGTTACAACTCACTCCGAGGAAGTGCTGCCCATCATAACGTTGAAGTCCGGACGTCGGCGAAAAAAAATCATTTACGTATTAAATACGAGCTTTTTCGTATAATTTCCCTGAACAACTCAATAAGGCGATTCCCAATACGACCTCGTAGTGGGCCTTATGAAGCCAAGTTCGCTAAGCTACTGCAAGGCCCTCCAGCCTCGGGGATCAAAGATCGAATGAGATTCCATGCCGGGTTAGCGCAGTGTTACAACCAACAACTAAGCCTCTCAGTTTGATGAAAAATTCGAGGTTGGGTGACACCGAAATACTCGAATATAGGCAATGTTTAGCGAGTGGTGCGGAGGTTCCGGGACCCGCCTTCACTACGGCTTCGCTAACGAAGATAGCAATCAATGGAGGAACGGCAGTCGCTATCGTCAGCCTTCCTAACATTGAAGATGCAAGGATTAGAAGAAATGTCTACAAAACATGGACAGGTTGTATCACTACGTTTGCAATCAGCATTTGCAAGTTGTTTCCTATGTCTTTAATTGTGCGTGCCAACCTCTGGATTTCACCGGTTTGATCCAGGTCCCCAGTCCCGGGAGGCATACTCACGCCAAAGAGTGGGTAGCTCGTATATCATAGAACCACATTAGCCTGATCAGACTCTGATCATGAAGACCAACAGCATACACAGAGTCTCAGGTCAGGGGGCCTCATGGAGCCGAGTTCGTCAAGCAACCACAAGGTCCTCTTCTGGCGAATATCCATAACAGCTTTACCAGAGTGTTCAACGTATAAATGACATCTGCTACGCTGCCTGAATTCTACCACAGCCCTCAGCTACACAGACAACCATCATCAAAACGGCGTCTTCCACTTTCAACCCTACCAAAATGAAGCTTCTGTCTATTCTTCTCGGCCTCGCCGCTACCGGAGCTCTATGCTCTCCGACCGCAGAGGCGGTCGAAGCCACTGTTGAAGATTGTGGCGAACTCGGAGTCATGGAGTGGGACCCCGCAACCCTACCCGAAGGCACCGACATTTCTGCTCTCCGAAAGTGCAAGAAGCATCCCTCTGAGCTTGGAATCGCCAGCCCTCTGTACGACCCAGCTTCAGAGACGGAAGTCACCAACTCTTCCAAGCGCGGAGACCTTCTCGACGAGGTTGCGGCGATCGCTAAACGGGGCGTTTGCTCAAAGGGAGGCCGTGGCTCCGGCTACGATTACGATTATGGATGCGATAAGGGCTGGTGCTGGAGGAACTGCGACGGCCCTTTTGTCAATGCTGACGTTGGTCTCAAGAAGACTTGGTGCTGGCTTGCATACGAAAGTGGCAATGGAGGCTGGACTCCCTGTGGCAGGTGGCAGGACTGCGAATGGTCTTACAACAACAAGGCTGCCAAGTGTGGCAAGGGAGACTGCAAGGCCTGTGGCTGTGGCTGCTGATCTCGGAATCCAAAGATTAGGTGGATATTGGGTTATTGAGAGGATTCTAAATGGGGTAATTAGTCTATCAGAGGGCGGGGAGGCTTCTAGTGTCCCGGCATCTTGTAGATCAGATTGGCGCCATCCCTGGCAATGTCATGTATTCCTAAGTCTTTGTTGATACATGATCATAATGCAGTTTTATTGCCGCGATTACAATGATGAGTAAAATCTTCACCGCCAAATCTGTTAGGGCCATCTCTATCACTTCACGTTGAAAAGTTGTATATTAACAAAATTGATGGCGTCTTGACTTATCTTACAACACGAACTCTGTACATTTTATTCTTTTTGTCTTATTACACGGCTCCTTTATTCATCTGAACTCTTCGCTCCGAAGCCTCGCAGAGGTGATCAAAACACCTCTTCGTACAACAATTAGATTTAAGCAGGATGTTGCACGAATTAGGGCGATGGGCATCCGTACTTCATCTGTCATCAATGGCGACTAGAGGAACAAATGAGAATCTCCAGCATTGTCAATCGTCACACGTCGACTTTTCTTGGTCTCGTTGCGTAGTTGTTTCGGTGTAGCTAGTGTAGAGATCTCGCGTCCGTGCGTACATTCTGAGTAGGCCGGTCACGTGATTTACGCCTTTGCTCAGCACACCGCGTTGCTCGATGGCGAGCTGTGGTTTCCCATAACGGCGTCGAAAACTCAATTCTGCTCTAACCTGATATCGAACTATAGCCTAGCTGGGATTACGACAGACATCAGGTGCTGCCTTCATGCTTTATGCTCTGCTCTCCCATGCTTGGCGCCAATGGCAGCACCGACAATGCCGACAAGGCAAGACAACAAATCCTCTTCTAAATTCGGTCTTGGTCTTTGTAACCATTGTAGTACTTCTGTTTCTTTCGATGCTTCTAGTCGGCGGGGTTGTCTAGCTGACTTCCGGGCCACCCGTAGTTGGTGCACCCTACGAATGGCGGGGACAGCTTGTGGCGCTATCAACTCTCGCAGGACCAATTGCGGATGAACCAAGTGCTACTACCGAACTCATCGTCGTACTCGGTATTGCGCATATGTATGGGTTGTACAGGGCATATACTATTGCAGCAGTCTTATGTGCGCTGCACTATTCCTGCGCGGATCAATAGCACGCATGACATCTCTGTCGCTACGTACTAAGTACTCCGTACTGCAGCTATCGCCCATCGATGTGGCGCGATGGTACGTGCGGAGACACGGGCGCAGAAAACCGCTCGAAAATACGAGTCCAAACTTTGAAGATCCACGCCCTGGCGATGAACGGGGAAACCGACGAGCAGGTACTCCTGCTGCTAGATAGTTGGAATATTTGCTACGACGCGCTTGTCATATTGAAGTAATACGCGTATTTCTGGGCTGGAAAGGCTGACTGTTGCTATACGGTGGTCAGCTGTGCAGAACGGGCGCAGTTCTGGACTCTCTCAGCGGCTCGTGTTTGCCCCGATGTTACGGCGAGTTGCTATTCTAGTGACATGTCCACGTACGCAGTATTCAAGATAAACCAATCTCTTCCTTTGCATGTTAGAAGCACGCCAGACGCCCGTTGTGTGGCAACAGCAAGTATAATCTAAAATTTCGAAATATACATGGCTGTGTCCACTCATATTGAGACTCATTAACTATGTATTGTGATGTTTACAGCAGTCTATATTATTGCAGCATGCCTTAGTACCTACTGTGTAATTCATGATGTGCTGGCATGCACTGCCTCAAAACGCGACGCAGTGTCTGCACGTTATACCGAAATCATGCCTATTAAATGGGGTGACATGCTGTCGCTACGTACGACATCAAGCCAAGAAAAAAAACATCTTTACGGTGTACCGCACCTCTGGGAGCTCTGCAAGATGCTCAGTTAGGCGGTCTAAGCATCTGAGGCCGACCGAGAACAAATACAACTTCCCACATGCGCATGGCCATTCCAGCCAATCTGACCTCGAAACCTAATCATCGCTTCCATGTACGACTTGAGAATGGCTGCCAAATCGGGCCAAAATCTTTATGCGGTCGCTATTGGCCGAGCAGCAGGGATAATTTAAGAATAACGCCGATTCCGCCTCTACTTTCGGGACGACTGGACGCATGACTTAGGAGGGCAGGGAGAAATCTCAGCCCTGCAGCGTCTAGTATTGCTATCAGTGGTCGAGCGGCAAATTAAGGATCCTCTAGACTTCCGTGTAGATTGCACGCCTGTCAGGAGTGGTCGGAGTGATCAAGGGTCTTGTTATCCATTGGAGAAGATACGGTTCACATACTACGTAGTGCTTATTTTTCGAGGTCCAAAGGACCAGTCTGCAACATCCTGCACCGTCTTAGTGTCCGCCTAAGAATTAAGCTAGCAGGGCCGCCATGCTTATACCTTTAGCATCTTAAGCTAACATTTCGAAATATACATAAGTATGTAGACAATCCTACCCCTCCCCTACAGCATGTGTCTGGTATCGCCGGTCCCCTCAATCATGTCTCGTCGCCAGCTATGCCAAGCAGCCTTGGTGTTGCAGACACTCATTCCACTCTCATCCGGAGCATTCTTTGAAAACAACGCTGATGCCCTTCGTGAATTCGATATTCCTGTTGCAAGATCTGTTCACCCACTAAACCCGCTTGCCAAGCGCGATTCGGGCAATTCTATTGGTAAAGCAAAAATCTTGCATCGAAGCAGCATAGCGGAAAGCTGACAATGGTGTGTTCAATTCAATAGCCGCTCGATCCGCTGATAGAAACACCGGTCCCACGCGAACTATCACGGACGGAACGCGCTATGCCATCGATGTTACGCTCGGAGGAAAAACTCATGCTGTTGAATTTGATACCGGAAGCAACTCATTTTGGCTACCCAGTGCCAACTTCACATGCTTTGATATCGACAGCAAAGTGAAGTAAGTATGATGCGGAAGCTGGCCGCGAATTACAGATTGACTTACACTCTCTGCAGGCCTCAGTCCACATGCGGCTTCGCATCGGTGGGTCCTGCCGAGTATACTGGGGGACGAATACCAAATATAAACTTCAACTCAACATATCTCACCGCAGAATTTGCCAGGGGCTCTGTTGGTCTCGAAGACGTGACCATCGCAGGTTTGACAGTCCGGAATCAGCATATGTCGCTGGCGGAGAAAGTCTTTCTCAGCACTGCGTACAATATGACTAGTGGAATTATCGGTAAGTCCTATCTTCCATTTTTTGCGATATCGCAAATAGTCTAGCAGTCTGATGCATGTATGTCTGACGATAACAGGGTGGGGACTGGGCAATTATACTGCATACTATCCAGGAGATAACTCAGACCTTGATAACAAAACCGACCCAAACCACACCTGGATTGCTACCAAGACTTGGATCCAAAATGCAGTCGAACAGGGCTTAGTGGAGAAACCTATATTCTCAGTCAATCTTGGCAACAGAACGGAGAATGCTGCAAATTTGAGCACATCTGGATTCGTGGCTGTAGGAGGTGCGCCACTTGACGGACTTCCCTTTACTGGGGTCTGGGCCCAGTCAAAAGTTAGCACTACGACGTTTGCGCCCTGGAGCGTGAAAAACAAGTACACCCACTGGAATACCAGGCCAGATGGATTCACCATCAACCAGACTTTCGTGCCATGGGTTCCCGGTGTCTTTGCCGACGGCGGAGAGATCTTTACTATCCTCGATACTGGAACCCCCTGGAGCTATGTCCCTGATGACGCTGCGAAAGCCATTGCCGAAGCGATACAGCCTCCAGCATATTACTCGGTTTACGACAGCTCGTATATCGCCAATTGTAATGCGACAGTTCCTCACGTAAGCCTCCGCATCAATGGTACGGACCTCCCAATCAACAAGAGAGACGTGCTCCTTGATGGTTGGCTTGGTCACGCCAATGGTTCGACTGTGCTGTGCTGGCTTGGCTTCCAGCCTGCCTTGCAGCCAAAAGTAGGTGGCACTGCACCCTTTCTCTTGGGAAATACATTTCTAAGGAATGTACTGGCTGTACATGACTTGGGAAATTTGAGGATGCTGTTCGCTTCGCTGAAATGGTGATTCTGCTGGTCTAGCGTGGAATTGATGAATAAGAGCACTATATTCGTGTAAATCGAACTCACAATCTCCATTAATGCCATTATCCCCTGGTTTGAACATTTATGATTAGAAAGTCAAACTCGTATTGTGATAATGTCTGAATCATCTTGCTACGATCATGTATATGCCAGTCTTCATGGATACATCGCTTCCCAGGGCAAAATACGCGGGAATTTTAACAGCAAGTCTTATCTGCATTAATGTAGACCAGGATTGCATAGCAGCATAGTCCCTCGGTATAAAACTCGGAAAGATTGCAGCTCATACCTTTTAAACATCACAAGTCACCAGATAATTTGCAAATATCCATTAACAAATACGACCATGTAAGCCGATCTCTTTTCTCCATATATTTTCAAAATCTCAACTCAAAGCGCTAAGCACTACTCATGCATCGAGTCTATCATTTCTCTTTCTTAACCGCAGTTGCAGCCGCACTCCTTGGGGTTGTGGCAGTTAATGCCGCAAGACTGCTGCTGGTTGCACGAGCCCCAGTCGGTGCATCCGTACCAGTCTCCAGATCCGTCACCGCGAGCGGTCCAGCACCACTGGCCGCCATCACCACAGACCTTCCAGCATCGCTTTTTGCCAAGATCGCAGCCGTATGGAGCGGTTGAAACGCAGCCACGGGGGGAGAGTGGGCTCTACAAGATGGAGGAGTCAGTGACTGCTTACTTAGGGAATTTGATATTACATACGGCTTTGTCGGTGAAGCTCATCCATGGTGTGTTTGGGGGTGGGATTGAGGAGTTGGCGAAGTCTGGGGCTTCGCCCTCATTGCCGGCGTGGGGAGCTGCGAAGACGCCTACAGCTTGGGCAGCCCAGAAGAGGATGGTGGTGAATTGCATTTTTGCGGTTGAAGGTGAGTTTGGGGGAGATGAGTGATCGATGGGAGTGTGATGATGAGAAATGATGAACAATGCTCGAGACTTATATACCTTTCTTTTCGAGTTGACTTCTCGTTACCAGCATCTGTCGAACTGCCTACCATATCTGCCTTAGACCCCGTTGATCTTCGCTTAGTGTAATTCAGACGGTTGTCCCGTCGCCCCATAGATGGAGGATTTACTAAATGTCCTAAGTTTGGGGGCCTTACGTAGGGTCCACCACAGGACGCCTGAAGACAAGAGCAGGTCCAACACTGTTCAGCCTAAATCTCAGTCCCGCATCACTCTATGTATACGAGTTTGACTGGAGGTGTCTTTGTAGCATCATAATCACTGGGTTGCGGAGAATATCTTACACACTCAGCGAGCATAGGAGGATAAAGTTACATCAATCTGTGCGAATGCCAAGCGACCAAGCCGTTGCAGAATTGCTTGAATCCCAAAGGATTCAGGGTCCAGTCGGTTAAGCTTTGTTCTGCACTCCACTAACTGCATTTGGCAAATCCTTAAAAATAGCCCCAGAGACAGCGTCGTGTGCAGTAACACAAAGCTCTGTTGTATCTCCGCAACGCTAATAAAAGAGTCCTTGTCTAGCGCAGAACTGGTATGCAGGTCTTCCTCTCTTCGGCAAGGCGAATCTTCATTTTGATGATATCTACAAGGTACCATTGGGTTCCAAAATTCCGTTGCGCCACGTAGCTACAACATATCTGCTGTTTCTTCAGTGAGACTAACAAATCGTGGTGTATGACTACGACGTAACTATAATATCCCTGCAAAACAGAGCTCCAACCGAACAGCCCCTCCGTTTTGTGTCCTAATCTATGCAAGCCTAGCCCCCAGACTACCCGCTACATACTAACCCAAAGTAGGCCGAAAACGGAAGGAGTAACTAAACAGGCTTTCAACCGCCGTAGAATGAGCTGCTAAAGATCTGAACTGCCCTAGCGCCCTGTGAGCAGGACGTGTCACAGTCTAGACTGTCCATCCTAGAGTACTCGTATCATACCGCTAACAAAAGAATCTACTTACCGCGGCTGGGAAAACACGCCTGCCAGCTATGTAGGGGGGCTCTAAATGGCCTAACGGGTACCTGCTTGGGCATTCTCGGGTCATCATTGCGACGGGATGCCAAATAAACCGCGCAATGAAACATCGCAATGGAACATTGTACCTTGCACCCGTCCTACCTTACAAGCGCGCTAGAAGAGATGAACAGGACGCCTAATGTGACTACTATACAGCCATTCGCAACCGGTCCAAGAATAAATTGATCTCTAAGATTGAGCAGGTTGCTGTTAGGCATATATGGATATAATATACACTTCTGGAACCTTCGCTGTTGGCTTTCTCAACCTGCAATCCTTAAGCGCTAATCAGCCCGAGAACCATTTCATCCACGCTCATTCGTCTGTTATACCTAGAAGCCTTGGATAAATCTCGTATAAGTCGTTGCTTCCGATGAGACCAGTGGCGCGCCTGCCGCACTCTCAAGCTGGACTAGTCTTTGAACTCCTTGCGCTTTATACAGATGTGATACAAACTTACTTCTGCAGCCACTCGTGTCCAGCTGCAGCTGTCTTAGTCTTTTAAAACTTCTCGTGGCCTGATCCCGACGCAGTGTCAATCCAACTGCCATTCCCACAAGTAATATAAGTCACTTTTACTTTGCTATCGTCACTCTTGCGAACTAAGAGGTTGGGATGATAGTAAGCCAGTTGGCTCTTCTTACGAATGAATAAGTCAGTAGAGAAGGTAAAGGTAGAAGTATGAGGACTTGTCCTATAGTTGATATTATACTGAAACTAGAGAGGTCTACGGATCAGACTTTCTCTGGACTCACTTCTGATCAGCAATGTATCGAAGAGCTTTCATTTGGCCGCACTGATGAGAGGGGTGTCATTCTGGAGCTGAACCATTGTCATGGCACTGTCGTCTTCTTCGATCTCACTACCTTTCAAACCCTTCTCACCGTCATATTCTTAGACCTTTTCGACTACTTCAGCTTTTCCAGCTTCTATGACTGACTTATCTCACCTTTATCCATGCTCTTTCACCTCCTTTGGGTCATATTCTCACTCATCAGAACCAGCAGGCCTTCTGGGTAAAGCTGCAGCTGAAGCTTCCATTCTGGGATGTCTGCCTCACCAAGAATACTGAAACTGGCGGTTGGTTCGATTTTGCCTCTTCCTTCTTGAGTGAGATGCGGCTTAAATCTAGGATGGCGCACTTCTCAAACATTCTCATGAACACACTGTAACTATTCTGAGGCGTTTTTCTGGTTCAAGAAACAAGTAAAGGTGAAAGAGTCGGGCGTGAGAGTGATTACTTCACCCAAGGTAAAGTTACTGGCATTGCTACGTGCTATCCATTGGTGAGCCTGTCGGATACAGTGGGTATATCAAGCAGCCTCCACTTCCTCTGCCAGAAACACCACTCTCTTCTGTAACACCGTCGTCGTCTTCTCCTTCCCGTCATTGCAGTAATGACGGACATCAAATTTACCCGCCAAGCCATATATGCAGCCACTGAAGCACAGATCCCAGACCTGTCCTTCACAACGGGCGGTGCAGCATTCCAGCACCCAGATATCTTCGATAATTCCAAGCCCGTGTTCATCAATGCTCGCAAGCTGTCCAGTGTAGTATACAAGAAAATTATTGCGAAGTGGGAAGAGAATCCAAATGGACCAAAGCCACGCGAATCCCTAGAGTTGACGACCGCCGAGACCGCTGAAGAGATTGGAGAAGACATGGACCGGTATTTACTTGTGGGCTGGGTTCCCCAGACACAGCAGCAACCAGGGAAAATCGTCAGGAAATACGGCCGTCCTGTGGGCATCGATCGACCAGACGAGGACAAGATCATTACATTCGACAAGGACGAAGATGACCTCCCGCTGATGGTTGTGGTGAAATCTTCGGATGAAGAAGTCGAGCTCACTTCTGTCCACAAGTTTGTCCTGCTAGAGCAAGCCGACGGTTTATGCACTCCCTACAATGTCCATTCAAAGGAAGTGTATCACCTCAGTCTCTATAGGGACATGACGACGAGCAACTGCAAAAGGCTTGCTGCGTGGAACCAGGTAGCATGTCAATATGCATACCAAGGACGAAAGAGACCAGAGACTGGGACGACCAAGAGATTGCAAGGTGCTCGGGATATGAAGAAGGCCGTACTTCCACCAAACAAGCATTCCGACAATGACGTTGATGAGACCTCCGCTGAGGACATGTCAGAGGACAACGCCTCGTCTCTTGCAGAGATGACAGATGTCAGTGACATCGACAAAGGCCTCACCTTCAACCCACTCGAGCACAAGGAGTTGCAGGCATTCGCAGATGCTGGCAACGAAGAAAACGAACCGTTTACGCAAGCACAAGCAGACGCCATGGTCAAGGAAGCCCAAGTAGCATGGTCTAATGTCCAGAACCTCAACAGCTACCATGTTTACCTGCTAGCTCAGGGAATGCGCGAAGCCGGACTCACCCCAGCACATGCTCACTTCAAAGCGTTCGTGTTGGAAGGATGCCACCTCATCGCCGAGGCCCCTGACGGCGAAGACTGGAACGCCGAGGAGCTGGGTGTGATTGCAGTGCACGCTGAAGAGACCGTGCAGCGCGTGCTGAGCTACATCGAATGATTATGGGCGAGTAGCAGTAGGATGATCGCCACGACTGATATCATGAGAAAGCTCGGGGTCATTGAGATTGAGACTGTTTCCAATGAGATGACGGAGATCGCCACAGCTGGTATCAAGGAAAAGCTGGGGGAGATCGTCACGGCTAATACCAAGGAAAAGTAGAGGGAGGTTATCAAGATGATGAAGGCGATAGTAGGTAAGCAGACCCTTGACGCCGATTTCCAAGATATCCAGGGGGGAAATAACTAACTTGCTAGACTTAGATATTTCTCGTGCAGCTTCTATGGATATTCTTGGGACAGCAAGACTCTGCGGCGTCAGGCATGCGATCGACATTGTCGAAATGGTGAAATAAAGAAGCCGTCAAGGAACTGTGCCTCTTCTCGATTAGAGTACTACACTACTTTGATATACTTAGAATATCTACTCTTCTTCCAATACACGTGACGTGTCCGAGTACAACGATCGGTTCGATAGAATATCAACGTCGCTGTGGAAAACAGCAACAATCATCACTGTCACTTAGATCCTGCGATGATAGCGCTTGAACAATGGTGCTAATCATCACGATCGGTTAGGTCTCAGGATGATAAGGCTTTGGATATTGCAATGAGTACTCTGTATCTCAAACGTCTCGAGCGCTATCTCGCATCGCAACTTCAAAGCGAGCTTCGTCTGCAACCGCCACACTCGGTATAGATACACACTACTATCGCCCCCATCCCTATAACCACATTCAACACTGCACAGTAGCCCGATCTTCCCCACCCCCCCCCTCGTCCGATCTCAGCCCCATCCCCAAACGTTAGCATGCGCAGCTGAAATCCCACTAGCTCCGCGCCCATAAAGGGGAGAGAGAGGGGCTGATAGCGCGGACCAAACAAAGTCGCATTTAGAAGCGCCGTAGAATCCCGCGGGCGGCGAAACGGCGCGACTAAGCAGCTAGCATGATTGGACACAGCCATCACTCAAAGGAATGTCAGCGGTCAGCCCTGCCAAATGTCTTGTTGCGTCCCGCTAACAATGTTAGTCCAGGGCGGCGCGCATATGCAAGGCGCGAAAGCAGGCGCCCAAAAGGTCGTATTAGCGTCGTATAGGAATGATTAAGCTCAGCGATCGCGCTTGGAGGGAAATCAAATAATAATGTAACAAAAGCTGACCGCATCCCGCGTGTGTTCGTATCCCCTTGTTCATCCTCAGTTCTTTCGTTCAACTTCTTCCCCACCATGTTGGCGCGGCCCCCGCAGCTATCCAGAGCGCTGACTTACTACGCGTTAGCCGCGCTCTTTAGCATAGGAATCGTGTACCATTTTCTCTC